ACTGAAATTTAGACAACAGACTGATTACTAGGCGACTAGAGCAAGTTCTACAGAATACAATACTGAAATTTAGACAACAGACTGATTTCTAAGCGGCTAGAGCAAGTTCTACAGAATACAACACTGAAATTTAGACAACAGACTGATTACTAGGCGACTAGAGCAAGTTCTCTACAGAATACAACACTGAAATTTAGACAACAGACTGATTACTAGGCGATTAGAGCAAGTTCTCTACAGAATACAATGCTGAAATTTAAACAACAGACTGATTTCTAGGCGACTAGAGCAAGTTCTACAGAATACAACACTGAAATTTAGACAACAGACTGATTTCTAAGCGGGACAGTGCACCATATGCAAACACATCTTGGTTTGCTGTGATATACCTTCCTATAGATAGTTTAATGGGACAGTACACCATATGAATTACTCCTTTTAAGTAATATTTTCGTAACATAGGACACACCGGATAATTTGTGATAGCTGCTAAAAGCCCGCATTAAAGCAAAAAATTTAAACAAAGCAAGGAACTAAGATTTCCTGTATCCGTTATTCTTGAAGAACTGGGGCAAAGTTGTAAAATTTCCACCAACTTCTCTAAATAATAATAATAATAATAATAATAATAATAATAATAATAATAATAATAATAATAATAATAATAATCATTATAATAATAATAATAATAATAATCATAATAATCATAATAATAATAATAATAATAATAATAATAATAATCAATATAAAAATAATAATAATCATAATATAATAATAATGATAATATTTTTTTTTAAAAGATGGGTGCAAAGCACCCTTAAAGCCTGTTTGTAAACAAAGTTTAACCTGAAGTAGGTGGATAGGTCTACAACATGGGTTGTATCAGGTCTAAAATCAAACAATTATCAAAATATTGAAATATTGATTTAAAAGAATCAGAATTCGTTACATTGTCGATAAATGTTAGATATTTGGTAAATTAAAGTTTGAAGGTTTTAAAAAGTCGTAAAATATTCATCCAGGTCTAAATAAATTGAAAGTTAACATTTAATATGAAAAAGATTAACAATAAACACGAACAGGTATTTAATAAAAAATATTTAAGAAAAGATTTTTAGAAAAATACCTCCTTCCTGTGAGCATACTACTTCTGCTAGGTGAACACAAAGATTGTTGTGCATAAGCTCTCTTGAAAACCATGCTCTCTTTTGAAAAACTAAAAAGTTTTATCGCATTAAAGGGAGTGTTCGCGAAAAATGAATGGGGGTATAGGCTTACGTCGAAAATTATTCGATAGTGATTGCTACTAATCTTACTTCTAACTGTTGCGTCTATAAGGAGAAATTTGTTTAAAACGACTCATACTAAAGAAAGTTGCAATATTTAACTCGGATCGTAAACAAATCAATTTAATTCCAAACAAATCATATACAAAACTCACTCAAGATCCCAAGAGCATATACATGGGGAAAAGGGGACTAAGGTTAAGTCCTTCCCCGCCCCCCAACCCCGGCACTGGACAAATTCATGCACGCTTTTTTTTCTCGAGGCAATAACGGTACGAGTAAAATTCGGTATGGTACAAATTCATCTATTAATAGACTCCATGCCGGGACATGAAGATGCAGGTACGGTACGTTTTGATCTACCACTAAACGCCACACCGGGACAAGAAGTATGTAATAATGTACAGTACAATTTCATCTATCTTTAGACTCCATGCTGGTACAAAAATATGGATACGGTACATAGACAAATAAACCATATTCAGAATAAAACCGTATTTTGGTTCTCATAATATATTCTATATTTTTTAACCTGTCAATGTTGGGAGTACTGATAGAAGGCATTGTAAAACCAAGATCTTCATCAGCATAAGGTCCTATTTCAGGCCTAGGATACAGTGAGAGGGTTAATTACCACAATAAACCAAGAGAAGAAATTACGTGAAATTTGTTGGGATGAATCCTAATTTATTCATAAATAAATCTGAACCCTATTCATTTCTATCATAATGTATTTTAAAAGAGTATTTGACAAAAACTGAATTCCACCCATTCTACCCTGGTCTGTTTTTTTTTATGAAATACTCTAAAATAAAACATCGGATAGAGAAAGATATACCGCCGATCTTCCCCCCATTTTCTGTTTGTTTTAAATGTGTTCAGCATTTATCTTAAATATGTTACCTTAAATCATCAATTGCAATAAATAAGATATTTTTCTGCATTTGAGCAACTGAGAGGTTTGCAAGGAGAAGAATTTGTAGAAATTTTAACATTTTCACTAAATAATAGTTTTTTTCTTAAAGGAATTCAGAAGAATATGTGAAAAGAACGTTGAAAAATTGATGTGTATATTTTTCATGCGAACCGTTCTAAATGCAGTTTTTTTTTTATAAAAACAGCAAATAAAAAGTATAGCCAAACTATAAGTGTTAAATTTTCATAATTTATATATCGTAAGATGTGAGGACTGAAGAGATTATAGTTTGACAATATTGAGCTTTATTTATATGTATTCTGAGTGATAACAATTCTATAGATTTAGGTTTATTTTCGTACACTTCATCATCGAGAAGGGGGGGGGGGGTGATGGCTCAGATAACATAAGACTGCAATTAGTTGATTGTTTTTTTTTCGAAATACCTATTTGATTGTTAGATAATTATGAAATAATTCTAAATTACATACAGAATTATTGTTTTTATTTTCTAGGTCCCAATAAAATTACAGCAGCCCACGTTTTGGAAAGCCCAGGGGTCAAACTATCATATTTTTAAATGCACTGCCATACTTCATTCTAAAATTATTGATTGTCAATTCCCATGATTATGGGAACACACTCTACGAGATAAAATACAATTAAAATTGAATTAAAGAATTTGTGTTTTCTCGGTTCTCCTAATATATAAAATAACCACAGAACAGAGATTAGAGTAGAAGGGAAATAATTAATCCCTTGGGATGAATTTGTTCAGTCCCAGTCCCTGAGCCTGAAATGGAGTTGTGTACAATTCGTGTAAATGTATGATCCCTGGACATATCCGTTACGTTAGAATTGATTTAGAGAAAATTAAATAATTGAAGAAAATTAAAGTGTTAAGTACACCTGCAGTATGGAAACAATACAACAAAATGGCGGTTTTGAACTTTTTTCGACTTAATTCCACTCTCATGCTTATCTATTCTCTTTGAAAATAATGCAGGGCTGCACTGTACTGTATGATTATGAGCATCACACGAGCTATATCTACCCCTGATAATAAAACTTTATCACACGAGCTATATCTACCCCTGATAATAAAACTTTATCACACGAGCTATATCTACCCCTGATAATAAAACTTTATCACACGAGCTATATCTACCCCTGATAATAAAACTTTATCTTATCTCATGCTCCCAAAACATTATGTAAGAACATTAAATAAACAACTTATTTTTCCTTGTTTCCTGGAGCTAATAAGCTAAACCTCAGCTACTCCTGGAGCTAATAAACTAAACCTCAGCTACTCCTGGAGCTAATAAACTAAACCTTGGCTATTCCTGGAGCTAATAAACTAAACCTCAGCTACTCCTGGAGCTAATAAACTAAACCTCAGTTACTCCTGGAGCAAATGAGCTAAACCTTGGCTACTCCTGGCGCTAATAAGCTAAACCTTGGCTTTTCCTAGAGCTAATAAACTAAACCTCAGCTAATCCCAGCGCTAAACAGCTACACAGCTACTCCCAGAGCTAATCAGCTACACAGCTACTCCTGGAGCTAACAAGTAACTCCGCTACCATCTTTAACCTACTCGTAGATATTTCGGAGCCAGTTCTCTACAGGTTGAATCTATGCCCGCCTAGCCTTCACTACAACTGATATTTTTATTTATAAAATCTGCAAATCAGTTGCGTTGGATTCTGGACCAAGATAAGCCCTACTAGACTCCTTCTTCTCTCTATTTATACACTCGTTATTTATCATGTAATTTCATCTAGAAGCAATAAATCTTCTAAAATGCTTAATTTTTCTGTGCTGCAACCATTTACATAGTTGTAAAGGGTGTTAATTACAGAATTTTTTTTTTTTTACGAGGCAAGAATCTCGTATTTTCTATCTAATACTGTACAGTGTTGCAGTACACTGTACATTCTTTGTTAAAAAATAGAAGAGTTTTAGGTTTACTTAAAATAACATTTTACAAGTATTAGTAAGAAATTCAATAAATTTTATTCTCATTCATCACAAAACATTTAAAGGTACTGCAAACTTAATTTCAAGGGACCCACCATGCAAAGATGGCAGATTTTGTCTGATCAATTATGTGGAAGATATTGTCGTTTTTCTAGGTTTAAGCGTGTTTTATTCTAATAATATTAGGGTCTTTTTGTGGTATCAGAGTCTTCTTGTGGTGTCAAGGTCTTCTTGTGGTATTAGGGTTTCTTGTGGTATCAGAGTCTTTTTGTGGTATCAGGGTCTTCTTGTGGTATCAAGGTTTTCTTGAGGTATCAAGGTATTCTTGTGGTATCAGGGTATTCTTGCGGTATTAGGGTCTTCTTGTGGTATCAGGGTCTTCTTGTGGTATCAAGGTGTTCTTGTGGTATCAGGGTACTCTTGTAGTATTAGGGTCTTCTTGTGGTATCAGGATCATCTTGTGGTATCAAGGTGTTCTTGTGGTATCAGGGTATTCTTGTAGTATTAGGGTCTTCTTGTGGTATCAGGGTCTTAATGTGGTATCAGAGTCTTCTTGTGGTATCAAGGTCTTTTTGTGTTGTGTCGTATGCTTCCTTTGTCCTATCATATGCTTTGTCCCATCCCATTATTCTCTTGTGATATAACGTTTTCACATTGTCCTACAATAGTTTTTTCTTGTTCATCAATTTTCTCCTCTTCTTCCTCAATTTTCTCCTCTTCTTCCTCAATTTTCTCCTCTTGTCCCATCACAGTTTTATCTAATTCTGTCCCATTATTTGATTTTTCATTTAAAAACTCCTCTGTCTGCTCTGGTCCAATCATATTCTTGAGTCCCAAAATATTTTCATCTCTCATTTCATTATCGAGTCCCATAAGTTTCTCATGTCCCCTTTTACTTTCGTGTTTCATTTTATTCTGGAGTCCCATAATGTTTTCACATCCCATTTTATTCTCGTGTCCTATGATCAAGGTCTCTGATCCTGATTCTGTCCCAATCTCAGGTTTATATTTTTTCTGACTCAAAAAAGTTCTCATCATCTGGGTTTTTGGTTCAACCGTATCGTATTTCTTCTGAGCTACTGTCTTCTTCTCCTGAAAAGTAACACATTACATAAGTTTATAATTTTTTTAAAATCTATATATATATTTTATATATTTTGCTTGTCTGTCTGTTTGTATGTATCCAATAAGCGTCAAAACAGCTGAACCGATCGGGCCCAACATTTTTGAGTCAACTCACATGAGACCAGGAAAGTTTTATAAATCAACCTTTATAAAGTGCATGAGAACAAACTCGCAGAGAAATGTGGTAATACCAAGAAGAGCCAATCCACTTCCGATATTTAGAATTGTATTCCGGAAACTAAATTTACCACCATGTCCTTCAACCTTGAACAGGAACGAATTATCGAACAAAAGTTTATAAAATTAATTGATATTTTGTTATAAAAAGGAGCGTTCATATTTTTAAAGATAATTATTTGGATGTATGATTTTTATTGCGATAAAATGAGTTTTTTTTTTAAATATCTATGGACCATTAAAAGAGATAGTTTTTTTTTTAAGATTACGTACAAAGCTCTGTTAAGTAGATAAATGTAATTTCGGAAACGATTGTACGAATCTAGGGCTGGGCAAAGTTCCGTTCACGAAACGGAGGTTTTCGAAAATAAACGGAAGAGTCCGTCAACAAACGGCAAAAACTAAATTTTTAAATCGTTAACCACGCTTAGCCATTAAAAAAAAGAAATTAACGGTTGAAAACGGAAACCAAACGGATTTTTTTTAAATGGTGAATTTCGTTTTTTTCTGCTTAAATTTGCAATAAACTTGTAAAAAAAAATTCGTGTTTTGATGTTTTTAAACGCCGTAAATACCGTAATAGTTAACCGCTAAAGAATTTTTACTAATATTAAAATTTAATTTTAACTTAATGAAATTGAGATCGTTAACTACCGGTAACTTAAAAAAAGGAAAATACCGTTAACGAAACAAAGTTTCGTTCTTACCCTCTAAAACTAACGGCTACCTGAGATTTTATTTTAAAACAGCTGGAACTAACCGTTATCATATCGGATTGTAAAAGTTGGAACGTGCCCAGCCTCATAATGTACGACTACGTTGAGATGAACCCTTGTAATAAATGAATTGATTGGTATCATTATTAACGTGATGTAATCTTTAAATATTGTGAAGATGGTCGGGCTTTGTTGTGATCCTGAATTAAAAAACTACGGAATTAAGTTTATTATGATATTGATTATAGGTAAACAATCACTTAAAAATCATAAACACCACTTTACGAGGCATATTTGTTAAAACCTTTTTTTCGATTCTTTTTAATTTTCAACATTTTAAAACTGTTTTATTTTAAAATTTGTTTTTATTAAAGAATTTGCACTATTATTATCCTATAAGAGCTAATAAAAAATTACGAACAAAAAAAATTAACTAGCGTTTTAAGACGCTTGTTTTTGGTTCTTTTCTTTGCATATATTTTATTTAAAGTCAAAATTTGACATATTGACAGAAAAGAAAATGCTTAAAAAAACTTTTAAGATTATGAATTCTCGGGATTTTGGGAGAACCCTTTAAAAATTGAAAACCCCTGAAAACGAACCAATACCTGGACAAGAAACTTAAGTCCGTAAGCTTTTATTAAAGTTCTCCGATGATATTCATGAACGTAAGCGTGGCGGAAGTTCCAACCTGTTTCTTCAAGAACAGAGAATCTGTATCTGCAAAATTGAATTTAAAAATATCTACTTTTATATACGTTGATAGATTTGAGGGGCATGTCCGATTTACAAAAGTACCTTTGCAACCTTAAAAATCGTTTTCTGGCTTGACATGTGTGTAATTTTGATAATTGTTTAATTGTTACTGAAGCAAGAAATGTGCAGAGAAACCAAACTTTTACCAAACCATTAAGTAGGCCGTTAAAAGACTGAATTGAAGGCTAAAGACCAAATTTAAAATTCAGATCGTCTTATTGAAAGAGTTTTGGATCGTCTTTTCAGACTCATCCTGTTACAGTAATAACCACGAAACTCTGGAATAGGAAGACGACTTTTAGACTCAAGATATGACTCCATTTAACATGAAACGAAGCATTAGTGCAGTGTGAACAGACCCATTTCACTAATCAATTTAATTAATAAGTTACAAATAAAACTATTTGCTTTGTAATAACATTTATTACACTAAATTATATCCTTAATGTCGTCTTCCTACAATTTTCTGGTTCTCGCTGTTGTATAAATGTAGATATTGTCTTTTCAACAAAAATTGTAAAATATTAATTTTTAAAAAAATGATTTTAAAAATGATAATTCTGCTTATTGCATCAATTTACAACGCTTGCTGAAAATAGAACATGTGCAACGCAGATTGTTTAAAAATATACAATTCCAGATTTATTTACATCGATAAAATATCCACCTTGGAAGACAGTAGTTTAGAAAATCCCAGTCTAAATCACACTCCCACAGAATTCTACGCAAAAAGATAAAAAAAAATTTGCGAAAAAATTGTATTTCGATATTATCCTACGTGATACTGATGACACCGCCCTTGACCGCCATGTTGGTAAAGTTGCCGCCGGCCAGCTCTACGAGGTCTCCGATCCTAGATAAAAATAGAAATATTTTGAAGAAATAAAAAATAGGAAAATTTTATTGAATGTCATTTTTATTTTCCATTGTTAGTTAGGTTTTCTAAGGCGCCGCAAGAGGATGCAAAAACAGTGGTCGAGCACTGTGACTTAAACAGGTATGGGTTTAGCTGAATATCTGTCCGTATGGGTTCAGCTCACTGTGGAAAGTATAGAATAACTGCATATCTGTCCGTATGGGTTTAGCTCACTGTGGAAAGTATTGAATACATTAATATCTCTCCGTATGGGCTTAGCTCACTGTGGAAAGTAAATACCTGAATATCTCTCCGTAGGGGATTAGCTCACTGTGGAAAGTAAATACCTGAATATCTGTCCGTATGGGTTTAGCTAACTGTGGAAAGTATAAAATACCTAAATATCTCTCTGTATGGGTTTAGCTCACTGTGGAAAGTATAGAATACCTGAATATCTGTCCGTATGGGTTTAGCTCACTGTGGAAAGTATTGAATACATGAATATCTCTCCGTATGGGTTTAGCTCACTGTGGAAAGTATAAAATACCTGAATATTTCTCCATATGGGTTTAGCTCACTGTGGAAAGTATCGAATACATGAATATCTCTCCGCATGGGTTTAGCTCACTGAGGAAAGTATAGAATACCTGAATATCTGTCCGTATGGGCTTAGCTCACTGTGGAAAGTAAATACCTGAATATCTCTCCGTAGGGGATTAGCTCACTCTGGAAAGTAAATACCTGAATATCTGTCTGTATGGGTTTAGCTCACTGTGGAAAGTATAGAATACCTGAATATCTGTCCGTATGGGTTTAGCTCACTGTGGAAAGTGTAGCATACCTGAATATCTGTCCGTATGGGTTTAGCTCACTGTGAAAAGTGCAGCATGCCTCAATATCTGTCCGTATGGGTTTAGCTCATTGTGGAAAGTGTAGCATACCTGAATACCTGTCCATATGGGTTTAGCTCACTGTGGAAAATATAGAATACCTGAATATCTGTCCGTATGGGTTTAGCTCACTGTGGAAAATAGTTGGTTCCTCTCCCAAAACTAGATTATTTCTCCTACAAGTATGATATCTAGGGAATTATTTCATTATTTAGAGTTGCATAATTAATAATGCGTCAATAGAGTCTCATTGCGTAATTTTAATTGCTCAATGATTTAAACCTTTATCTGAGTAACAATATGAAGATACATTTTACCCTCTTAAAAAACGAATAATTCTGTCAACTTCCATTTTTGTCTCTGTTGTCTAAATCCGCATGTCACTTTAATGGAGAACCCGCAATATAAAAATATCAACTTTTTCTCGATCAGACAAAGGTAAAATTACGTAATTCTTTAATTGATCACTTAGAATTACGTAGACAAGTCTCTACTCTAGAGATTTATAAAAAGCACTTTTTAAAAACTTTTTATAAATAAAAACTCTGTATATTCGTCTTTGTAGCATCTATTTCTGTGGGTTACATAAAAAACACGAAATGCAAGAGTTTTAAAAATTCAAACTTACTTGAAATGTTCTCCGAAGCGTGGGAAAGCTATGGAATTTTTTATATAAACTGTAAAATCCTCTGCCTCCTGTAGAAGAGTTTAAATAAATATTTTTGATACTTTCTGACAAAATCTTAATCTAAACTATGCAAAGTGAGATTTCGTGGATTTTATCAATTTTACCGTTTATTTTCTATAAACTCAATTGAATATAAACGAAAATTTCAAGAAGAATAGAATTTCTAGCGAAAACAACATTATTTTTTGTTAAATTGACGATTCTCACACGGGGGGAGGGGGGCATAAGATTGGATTCATTGTGTTTTCCTTCGAAAAATTGGTGAAATTGTGTGCATTTTCAAATAAAAAAATAGTTTTATATTTTATTTACATACTTCTTAAACTTATTTAGTATCGAATACAGGATAAACGAGAAAATAGGAATTTTGTACATTTATTTCTTTATTTCTTTATTTATTTATTTATTTAATTTCCTTTAGAACTGCAGGATTTTGTGGCGATCTAAATAATCTCAAAAATGTTGCAAACATTTTTAAAAATATCTCCTCTCTAAAAAATGCCAGAAAAATTCCATACATCTTCCTCCCCCCCCCCCCCAACTCTATTAATTAAAAAGCTAACCATTAATAATCTGTGTTTAATGAAAATTGCCTGAAAGTTAAAATATGTCAATTAGGAGTTAAAAACAAAAGAATTATCTCAAATATTTATCGTTATTTTTATATCAACACTTTGATAAATTTCCTGTCTATTTCAACAGGACACCAGGCTGTGATCTCACATATACCATCATACACCGCTCCTAATCCATCTCTTGGTATACATACTCCTAAACATATACCATCATTCACCTCCTAGTTAATCTCTTGGTATACATACTCCTAAACATATTCAATTATCCTAGAATTTAACACCTCTTCTACTCTTTCCCCCCCCCTCTCAACTCTCAAACCTTCTCCATCCAACTCTTTTCAATCCGACTCTCATTCATCCTTCACTTCTCCATCCTTCACTTCTACATTCTTCATTCCTCCATCCTACTCTTCTCCATCCTTCACTTCTCCATCTTTAATTTCTCCATCCTTCACTTCTACATTCTTCATTTCTCCTTCCCACTCTTCCATCCTTCACTTCTCCATTCTTCACTTCTCCATTCTTCACTCCTCCATTTTTCATTTCTCCATCCTTTACTTCTACAGCGTTAATTTCTCCTTCTTTCATCTCCATCCTACACTACTCAATTCTACACTTCTCCACCTACCATGTTCCAACCTACCTGTCATATGTCCATGACCCTTGAGTAGATATGAACCCTTGATACAGGTATTGTTGGATATTTTACACCTTGATCCAGGTATCCTTGGATCCTCAGTACACTCAGACTACAACAGTTAACATTTTATATTAAAGTCTGATTTTCATCCTGATTTTCATCTCTCTATTTTCCATAAAGAATTTGAATCTTTGCCACAAATTCAATTTTTGTAATCCCTATATCTTTGCAACCTGATGATATAAACCTTTGATATTTCAAACTCACATTATTTCATCTAATAGCTTTCACAGTTTGAAATTTCAAAGGTCTACAACATTGGGTTGCAGCGATATTGAAATTAGAAAATCAGAGTTTGTGGCAAAAGTTCAATTTCTTTAAAGATTAGTTTTATAGGAACAAAGGTTTCAAATCTCAAGAACTAAAGAAGGTTCACCCAGGCCGAAATAAAATTGTGGAACTAACACCTACTTTTTTTACTTTATCAGGTTTGGATCAAAATCAACACCAAATTGTGAAAGGTATAACTGTTGACCTGGGTTTGGTTCGGAGTAATATTTAGGTTTGTTGTGATAAAGAATGCTCCATTCTCTGCCGGGGGAACCACATAATCAGCTTCGTCCCATACTCTAAGAAAACAAAATATTATCAAATACATGTTTTGAAATGTAAATTGTTGGTTCTTTATCATGGAGAATGAGTATGATGGGCATGATAAACAGGATGAGTAGAATGAGTAGGATGAGCAGGATGAGCAGGATGGACACCGGACAGGATGACCAGGATGAGTAGGATGGGCAGGATGAGCAGGATGAACAGGATGGACAGGATGAGCAGGATGAGTAGGATGGGCAGGATGAGTTGGATGGGTAGGATAGGTAGGATAAGGAGGCTGAGCAGAATAGGTAGGATGAATAGAATGATCAGGATGGTCAGGATGATAATGATGGGAAGAATGGGTAGGATGAGTTGGATGGGTAGGATAGGTAAGATAAGGAGGCTGAGCAAAATAGATAGGATGAGTAGAATGATTAGGATGGTCAGGATGATTATAATGGGAAGGATGAGCAGGATAAACATTATCAGCAGAGTGAGCAGGCTGAACAGGATGGACAGGATGAGCAGGATGGGAAGGATGGGCAGGATGAGTTGGATGGGTAGGATAGGTAGGATAAGGAGGCTGAGCAGAATAGATAGGATGAGTAGAATTATCAGAATGGTCAGGATGATTATGATGGGAAGGATGAACTTTATCAGCAGATTGAGCAGGATGAACATAATCAGCAGATTGAGCAGGATGAACAGGATGAAAAGAAGAAGCACGAATGACAAAAACGGGATAAAAACGCAGGATGAGAATTAAGCCATATGAACAGGATGAGTAGGATGAGTAGGATGAGTAGGATGAGTAGGATGAGTAGGATGAGTAGGATGAGAAGGATGAGAAGGATGAGTAGGATGAGTAGGATGAGTAGGATGAGTAGGATGAGTAGGATGAGTAGGTTGAGTAGGATGAATAGGATGAGTAGGATGAGTAGGATGAGTAGGATTTATAGGATGAGTTGGATGAGTAGAACGAGTAGAATAAGAAAAATGGAATGAAAACACCAGATGAGAATTAAGCCTTATGAACAGGATATGAAGGTTAAATAAAGAAAATAAAAGATTTGAGTATGATGACCAGGATTAAAAATATGAACTGCAGTATGGGAAGGATACACATAATTCCACATAAGAGAAGAACGTTCGTACACATATCAAAGTAAAATTTCTCCTCTCTCAACCTTAACTCTTCCCAACTCTTATCTAATAAGGTCCGGTGTCCTGCATCAGTTCATCTCCTTCTAAAGTTTTAATACAACGTTATGACATAAAAAGCAATGTGACAATGTTAAAACAATAAAAATTATTAGTTCACATAAATAAATGCGCATTTAGTTCTAAACTGTATTAACAAAGAGGAAACCCCAAAAAAGATTATTTCCTGGTTAATTTCCAAACAATCTATTTGAGATATAGATAATTTGTTTCAACCTAAATATCTAATATTCAAATGTAAAAACATTGCTTTTAATTTCTAAAGGAATTGAGTTTTTGCCACAAACTCAAATTTTCTCTTTTCATTATCTCTGCAACCAGTGGGTATAAACCTTTGATATTTCAAACTTAGATTATTTGATCTAACAGAATTAATAGTTTGAAATATCTAAGGTATTCGACATTGGGTTGCCAAGATATAGGGATAAGAATATTTGAGTTTGTGGCAAAAACTCAGTTCCTTTGTGTTGAAAACACTAGGGGGAGATGAACTGTCCCAGGGAGATGATCTGATGCACGATACCGGGATCGACCTGACGTATAGATGATGATGATGAGAAGAATCCTGCTCCCATAGCATAGGTTGTATCTGAGTAGAACTAGCTGTACCTTTAACCTGAATAAGGAAAAAATTTGACTGAAAATATTCGGATGCAGACAAGGTACACTTCGTTATTTTCAGTTTTACGTGATAAGTGCCATTGAAGTCCTTAACTTATGTTCACGTGATAAATGCTCTTGAAGTTCATTAACTTATGTTTCGGTGATTAGTGCCCTTGAATTCCATTAACTTATGTTTACGTGATAAATGCCCTTGAAGTACAATAACTTATGTTTACGTGTTAAGTGCCTTTGAAGCACAATGTCTTATGTTTACGTGAATTAGTGCCCTTGAAGTACAATAACTTATGTTTACGTGGTTAGTGCCCTTGAAGCACAATAACTTATGTTTCCGTCATTAGTGCCCTTGAAGTACAATAACTTATGTTTGCGTCATTAGTGCCCTTGAAGTACAATAGCTTATGTTTACGTGATTAGTGCCCTTGAAGTCCAATAACTTATGTTTCCGTCGTTAGTGCCCTTGAAGTACAATAACTTATGTTTACGTCATTAGTGCCCTTGAAGTAAAATAACTTATGTTTACTTGATTAGTGCCCTTGAAGTACAATAACTTATGTTTACGTGATAAGTGGCCTTGAATTACAATAACTTATGTTTACGCGATAAGTGCCCTTGAAGTACAATAACTTATGTTTACGTGATAAGTGGCCTTGAAGTACAATAACTTATGTTTGCGTGATAACTAATGTTTACGTGATTAGTGCCCTTGAAGTACAATAACTTATGTTTACGTCATTAGTGCCCTTGAAGTACAATAACTTACGTTTACGTGATAAGTGCCCTTGAAGTACAATAACTTATGTTTACGTCATTAGTGCCCTTGAAGTACAATAACTTATGTTTACTTGATTAGTGCCCTTGAAGTACAATAACTTATGTTTGCGTCATTAGTGCCCTTGATGTACAATAACTAATGTTTACGAGATTAGTGCCCTTGAAGTACAATAACTTATGTTTACGTCTTCACAATTTCTAGTTTTGAATATTTTTACACGGATGTTATTTTTGCAAGCATGCCTTCAAAGATTGATCTGTTATAGTTCTAGGACAAGATTTGTTTATTCTACTGCTTTCAGAAACCTGAGCTTTAGGCTGGCTCTGAAAATATTCATGTTTTTTGCAAGAGAATTGAGTCAAAGAAACAAACTCAAATATTCTAACTCCTTTATCTTTGCAACCTGATGGTGTCACCTTTTATATTTCAAAATTAGATTAACTGATCTAATGGAATTCATAGTTTGAAATATCTAAGGTCCACGACATTGAGTTGCAAAAATATTGGGATTTGAAAATCTGAGTTTGTTGCAAAGACCCAACTACTTTCAGGACAGAAACTTAGAAAGTCGTTTTTTACAATTTCTATATTTCCATTTTGGAAGTTCAATTTGGGATTTGAAATGAAAGGTAAATAAAATTTTAAGCACAATGTAATGTAAGGCATCAAAAATGCCTGCTCTGTGTTTGTATTGATATTATATTAATTTAGTCCTAAAACAACCCTCCGCCCCAACCCCGCGTAGATGATATAGAGAGTTGAGTAGAGAAATACACAAATTGTTTACATATAAAACAAAATTCACATTTTTTCCAGACTGAAATGCATGAAAGTTGTATATTGCATTGATGTATATATAAGGTGGGGATGTCATGATTTAATTTTTATAATTCTAAAAAATACTATTTAAAGAAGCCTATGGAGGTCAAAATGTTTATTTGAAAAACTCTGTTTAATTGGATAAGTATACAATCATGGGTTTATCTTATCAGACCTGGGTAAATATTTATTTTCAATTCATCTTAGAAAACTTTTCTAACTTTCAAACTTGAAATGTTTTAAATTTGTGTTAAATCAGATAGCTTTCATTAAATAAACATGTCCTAACATAACACCCGGGGAACTGACTAAAGTAATCAGATTTTTTTCCATAAAATATCAATTTGGGACAAAAATATCAATTTTTTTTGTAAAAAAACAATTTGGGACAAAAATATCATTTTTTCTGTAAATAATCAATTTGGGACAAAAATAAGTAATTTTTTTGTAAAAAATCAATTTGGGACAAAAATAATAAAACTATTTGTACAAAATCAATTTGGGACAAAAATAGTTAAATTTTTTTTTGTAAAAAAACAATTTGGGACAAAAATAATCAAATTTTAAATTCAAAATTTTGCAAAAAAAATCAATTTGGAAAAAAATAAAGGTGAAGCTGCAACTTTAAATAATCCTTAAATTTCAAGAATTTGTAAGTTTTCTCAAAACTTACTTTAATATTATCAGTAAAACATAATATTATTATTATAATGTATATTATAATAATATTTAATATTATCAGTAAAACATTTAAAGTTATGTTCAAAGTTGCAAAGTTTGTAAAAAAAAAATATCTTTGATATTTTTAAAATTTATAACTTTCACCAACTTTCTTTTCAATTAAATAAATCGTTCACTAATCGGAATTTGGAGAAGTGGAGAGAACCATTGTTTAATCAGGATTTAGAGATGACATATTGAAAAGAATACATTTATTCCTTGCAGGGTAATAGATTGGAGATAAGGTAAAGAAAACAATAAGTTCCCTTGAGTAATTTTCAACGTATGTAACCATTAAATTTTAAAGATTTAGAAGATTCAGGTTGATTTTACAAAATACGTTTGCCAAAAATATGTTTGCCAAAAATACGTTTGCCAAAAATACGTTTGCCAAAAATATGTTTGCCATTATGGTTAAATTTTCCAAAACTACTGGGAAATTAAATTTAAGGTTTGGTTAGGCCCTCTGTGGCGTGAGCGCCGTGGGTAGGCCAGACCAAGGGACCGAGCGCCGTGGGTAGGCCAGACCAAGGGACCGAGCGTTGAGGTTATGACGGGTTAAATCCCCCCCTCCCCAGGTATTTGAAAAGTTTCCCCTCTTCTCCATAAAATACTCTAAAATTTATATGATACGTCCATGTCGAAATTAATAATATATACAAGTGAAAACAAAAAACCGGGATTATCCATGTTTTGTATAAAATTTTCAAAATTTTGGTCTTTATCTTAAAATATTTTTGGAACATTGAAAGACAAAAAATTCCGCAAAACCAAATATTTAAAAAAAATCAATGAAAAATTTTTGGGAAAATGTTTATTCCATTGTTTTAAAAATTTTATAAAAATTCATTAAAAATTGAATGAGATATAACAAAGAACATGTAGAGGGGAAATCTAAAACCCCAGAACTGTTGACTTTAATAATTCAAATAATTGGCTGACATTTTATGTGTTATATCTTATTAAGTTTTTAATGAATTTGGATGAAATTTTGGAAAACAATAGAATAAACATTTTCTAAATATTTGTTACCCTGTGTATTGTAAAGCATAATAATAAAATGTGTTTCACAAATTTTGAATGAAATGAATTTACCTTAGTGATTACACTAGACTCTACTCCACTCCACTCCTGGTACCCTTTCTCATAGAGCAGAGCATACGTTATTATATACGTTATAATTCCTAACTGACTACTCCTAAAATTCAATCAAAAATATTTTTATTTTTATTTTCAAAGATTTTTATTTTGATTTAAGTTCTGTAAAAAATATAATTATATTACTCCAACGTTTAAATTTCAAAATGATAGATGATTGAATTTTGTTGCTAAAAGGAACAGTCGGTGTAACTTCAATTTTCTAAAGGACCCTTTCTTAGATTCATTTTCATAACGCACCCTTTAGAATATTTTCTGATCAATAATGTGAAGATATCGTCGTTTTTTACTTTTTACTTGTTTCTGTATTTACCAAGAATCCACAAGTTATTTTTATAGAGAAAACGCAATTAAAAGTGACCAATTTTTAGAAAACAAATCAAGGATATCATGGATCGGAAAATGTGTTCAAGGGGACTGTTGTGAATTAGACATGTAACTCTATAAATTTCGGGTTACTGAAATTACGTTTATTGTCCGTCAAAATTAATCTTTAAACTAAGACATTTCTTTCTCCTTGTAATTTAGTATAGAACCTTAAACTGAGTTCTATCCCAAGTAATGGATTATGAACCTTTACCTGACTACTATCCCTAGTAAAGGATTATGAACCTTTACCTGAGTACTATCCCTAGTAAAGGATTATGAACCTTTACCTGAGTATTATCCCTAGTAAAGGATTATGTACCTTTACCTGAGTACTATCCCTAGTAAAGGATTATGTACCTTTACCTGAGTACTATCCATAGTAAAGACCTTTACCTGAGTACTATCCCTAGTAAAGGATTATGAACCTTTACCTCAGAACTATTCCTAGTAAAGGAGTATGAACCTTTACGTACGTGAGTACTATCCCTAGTAAAGGATTATGTACCTTTACCTGAGTACTATCCCTAGTAAAGGAGTATGAACCTTTACCTGAGAACTATCCGTAGTAAAGGAATATGAACCTTTACCTGAGCACTATCCCAAGGAAGGGATTATGAACCTTTACTGGAGAACTATCCCTAGTAAAGGATTATGTACCTTTACATGAGAACTATCCCTAGTAAAGGATTATGTACCTTTACCTGAGTACTATCCCTAGTAAAGGATTATGAACCTTTACCTGAGTACTATCCCTAGTAAAGGATTATGAACTCTGACATATCTCGGAGTCTCATATTCAACAAATCTTTTGATAAGTCCGTTCATCATTTCTTTATTCTAAACAATAAAGGAATATGTTATTTTAAAGCATTTCATCAGATTTTTAGTGTACACCAAATAGATTATCTATTGTAGATGACATATTTGGTGCACACATTATTCAACAAGGTTGCTTATAAAATCCATCAACCCCCCCTACCCAAACTAAAAAATATCGCAAAATAACAGATCGCATTCAGGAATTTTCGAAATTGCTTTCTGTGTGTGTCTGTATTATCAACAAAATTTACAGGAATATAAAGAATTATTGTTCAGAGTCATAGTTATTCTTGCCGTTTACCGGCGCTTGGTAATAAATCTTAATTTTAGCTGAAGTCCCAGTTTTTGCTTGTGGAATAATAATTTTTTTTATTCCGGTGATTCAGACGTTTTTCACATCCCCTCAAAGACTCTCCCCCCACCCATATGATTTTTACTTATATTTCCTAATTGTTTGGCTGCTTTTACGGTTTTAACCCCTTACCTTTTTTACTTGGACATTTACAAAATATTATACACAAAAATAAACTAGTTTTGGTCTAAAAGGAACCCTGAATGCAAGAAAACGGAATAAACAAATCCGCAAAATCGTCTCTGAAGTCTCATCCTTTGTGGGCAACCCTGTACGTAATTTTGAACGAAACGTTTTTGTCATAATTGTTATTTACAAAGAATAACTATTTCTGCAGTTGTAAGTATAAAGACATACTGGAACTGAATTCGGGTGTAAACCTTATAGATTATTAAATAAGGAACCAAATTTTCTGTTAAATATACATTTATAACAGTAATGTTAGATTAAAATAGATGTAGACATATGAATCAAGCGAACAAAATTCTAGGGTTTTATTCAGAATAATAAATTCTTTTACCAACGAAATCATGATAATGAAATCATTTATGAATAGCGGGGTTGCATTTCTATCTTTTTAATTCTTTAAACTAAAATTATTCATTTTAAAATTTAAAATTGAAGGCCAAAAATATAAAGTATTTTTAAACAAATTTTCAGGAATTCCACAATTGCTTGAAATGTTTTCTGGTAATTATATTTGAAAATTTAATGAACTCTAAATAATTCATAGTTTAAAGAATGTCCTCAAAATAAATTTAGGAAATGAACTAAAAATAAAGATGATTTGGTAAAGATTGGCAAGTGGGTAACCATCAATTCAACATGGAATTTTATACATAAAAACTTGGATATCTCCTTCAACGATTATACAGAGTGTCCCAATAAACATGGGAATTCAGTGACGAATTCGATAGCCTCTTTTTAAATAATTCTTTGATTTAGTATAGTGATACCTACTGAGAAAGCTGTGATCCGTAAGATTTTCGTCTGCTATGTTTACAATTTGTTTTGACTGCATACGGCTGTACTTAGTAAAACAAGAAAATTACAGTATACAAACAGAATAAACTTATGAGTATTCACTGTTCATCTTGCGGATACATTATTGACACATCTTTACGGCCATTTACCGTTTTCAAAATAAACTCTAGCAGGCATAATTATATTATGGCTTTTGAAATCAAGTATTGTATACAATGCTAATTCATAACAAAGACGATATCCAATTCGTCACTGAATTCCCATGTTTATTGGGACACCCTGTACTTCAATAAGGTAGAAAGAGCAACTTTGTAAATCATTGATGGTATCTTAAATAAAGGTTGAATAGATTCTATGCAGAATTAGTCCGAATATTTCATCAAAACTAAAACTTAAACAATCAGCAAATTATTATTCTTTCGGTATTTTATGACTTTATTCTAAATGTTATTTACCCTTGATAGTTGCAAGCTATTTGTAATGTATCACTATACAAAAATTCCACTCAAAATTCAATTGAGAAAATTAATTTGATTTTTTCCCTGGTATTCCTAGTATCTCCATGGTATTCCTAGTATCCATGGTATCCCTGGTATCACTGGTATCTCCATGGTATTCCTGGTATCCCTTGTATCCCTGGTATCCCTGGTATCCCTGGTATCCCTAGAATCCCTGGTATCCCTGGTATCCCTGGTACCACTGGTATCTCCATGGTATTCCTGGTATCCCTTGTATCCCTGGTATCCCTGGTATCTCCATGGTATCCCTGGTATCCCTGGTATCCCTAGTATCCCTGGTAATTCTGGTATCCCTGATATCCCTGGTATCCCTGGTATCCCTGGTATCCCTGGTATCCCTGGTATCCTGGTATCCCTGGTATCCCTGGTATCCCTGGTATCCCTGGTATCCTGGTATCCCTGGTATCCCTGATATCCCTAGTATCCCTAGTATCCCTGGTATCCCTAGTAAACCTTTATCCTTGGTATCCCTGGTATCCCTTGTATACCTGGTATCCCTTGTATACCTGGTATCCCTTATACCCCTGGTATCCCTGGTATCTCTGATATCCCTGGTATCCCTGGTATCTCCATGGTATCCCTGGTATCCCTGGTATCCCTGGTATCCCTAGTATCTCTAGTATCCCTGGTATTTCTGGTATCTCTGGTATTCCTTGTGTCCATGGTATCCTTAGTATCCTTGTTATCCCTGGTATCCCTTATACCCCTGGTATCTCTGATATACCTGGAATCCCTGGTATTCCGGGTACCCTGGTCCCTGGTATCCCAGGTATCCCTGCAGTAAATGTCGTGCTGTTATAACTTCGTCCCAAACCCATCAGCTATCCACAGAAAAATAAGGACACAACCCACCTAAATGCCACACAGGGACACAAGCTTAGCTATCAACAAGCTTTAACTCAGGCTCTAAATGCCACACAGGCACACAATCGTGTTTATCAATCTAGCTATTACTCAGGCTCTTAATGCCACAAAGGGACACAAGCGTAGGTATCAAACAAGCTATTAATTCGGCTCTAAATGCCACACAGGGACACTAGCCTAGCTATCAAAAAAGCTATTACTTCGGCTCTAAATGCCACACAAGTGTAGCTATCAAACAGGGACACAACCGTAGCTATCAAACAAGCTATTACTTCGGCTTTAAATGCCACACAGGGACACAAGCATTGGCTATCTATCAAGCCCTTAATCGATCTCAACCCGAATACTCAATGGGGGTACATGTATAAATCAAAGCGGAGTTCTGATTCTAACTTATTGTGTTTGAGGTTTTTATGTTACAAGTTAAAGTTAATAGACGTAATTACAATTCCTACATTATCTATATCACATGATTAAGGCAATCATGTTACGTATTACAGCACAGTTGAAATAGGCGCATTTAAGATGTGCGTATTTATAGGTTTAGTGAGGATAGATATAACATAGTTAAGCTATCTCCACACATGTTTATAAGTTGAATGTACGTATTAAAAGGGTTTAAGCTAACCATACTAGGTATTTATTTGAAGCAAAGTTCAAATGAATAATGTGTGTTTATCCCAGATATTCCTGGTATCCCTGGTATTCCTGGTATCCCTGGTATTACTGGTATTCCTGGCATCTCTGGTATCCCTGGTATCCCTGGTATCCTTGGTATCCCTGGTATCTTTGGTATCTCCGGTATCTCCGGTATCCCAAGTTGAAAGAGGAAGAAGGATGAAGGATGGAGGCAGGGAGCTGAAGGTGATGGGGTGGGGTACTGAGAGATTAAAAAGAAAAGTGTGGATAAGGGTTGAGTGTCTATCTAAGGTTTAACTAGACCGGAAAGCAAAATGAAAAGAATGCTAATTACAGAGGTGTAAAAATAAATAAATGTATATTTAATCATAATCAAATCATTTATAAATCGACAACTTTCATATTTCTAGAATATTTCTGTAAAGAAAATATAAAATTATCCAGAGTTCTCTTCTACAGTGGTAACAGGTTTCCCTAGAAGGGGCAGGAGATGTAGTTTCCCTAGAAGGGGCAGGAGATGTAGTTTCAAATGCAACCATTTATAAAGTGCCGAGTCCGATTTACAACAGTACCCTTAAAACCTTTCTCTGATGAATTATGTTGAAGATAAGATAAGATAAGATAAGATAAGATAAGATAAGATAAGATAAGAAAAGATAAGATAAGATAAGATAAGATAAGAAAATATAAAGTTTATTGCTAAAATACATGTATCTGTGTACAGACGAGTTTACGATTACAAATTGATGATTATATTAACAGTACAAGTATAAAGAAATTAGGTGGAAAATAGCTCTTGGCTGTTTTGATTATTTTTACCACCTAATTTTTAATAATGATGCCAAAACATTTCAATTAAATTTCTGACATGTACACAACAAATATCGAAGCATATTAAACATATCTAATTAGTTTTACATGAATAGCAATTCGGTTTATAACACATTGTAATGTAATAAAAAAGAGAATGCAGTAGTCTATTTTTAAATGTACTTTGAGAGTTGCTTCTTTTTAAGTCAAGAGGCAGGTTATTTCACATCTTAAGAAGAGAGCTTGATGGTAAATACTGTAATGAGCGCATTTTGAAAAGGTCAAGTTGTTGGTTAAGAAATCTTTCAAAGTTTCCAACCTTTTTAAAAATGTTTTCAAAAGATGCAGGAAGAAGTTTATGTGTATATTTATACATAAATATAGCTTGGTTAAAGTATACCAGATCATTAATCTTTAGAATCTTATACTTAAGGAAAAGAGGATCACTATGAGACATGGCTTTTGAGTTATCAATTAATCTTCTTGCTCTTTAGACGCATTCAAAGTCAGTTTGTTTGCTTTAAACCAATCTTCTATTTTAGAGAGCTCAAAATTTGCCAAATCATATGTGTCGTGTAAGCTTTTTGAAGAAAGTTGCAGTGTTGTATCATCGGCAAAAAGAATTGTAAAAAATTTCGATGCTTTAGGATGGTCAGCGATAAGAATTAGAAATAAAATTGGTCCTAATATCGATCCTTGTGGTACACCACAAGAGATTTTTTTAAGTGAAGAGTCAACACCCCTGATTGAAGTAAATTGTTTTCTTCCCTTTAAATAATTTTTGAACCATAAGTTAGAAGTCCCTGCACGAAATCCATAGTGTTCAAGCTTGCTCAGTAGAATGTCAACATCACAGGTATCAAAAGCTTTAGTTAAATCTATAAAAATTCCCAGAGTATATTCGGATACAGGTTTATTTAGTGCGTTGTATATTTTATCTAAGAAATGAATTAAGGGTTGAGTAGTGTTGTGCTTGGCTCTTAAGCAATACTGATGTTCATAAAGTAGTTTGAATTTATTCAAATATTTCATAATTTGATTTACTGCCACTTTTTCTAGAAGTTTTGAAAACGAAGAAAGCAAACTTATAGGCTTATAATTTGATAATGTCGTTTTTCTCGCTTGAAAAGTGTTTGATTCTCTAAAAACTATGTGCTTTGAAGTTCTAAAATGTACATGTCTAGAGCTACAAAAAATATAAGTGAGATAGTAAGGTGAACTGAAAGTCCAAGACGTTACAGCTCTTCAAAATCGACCCGGTCTTGAAATTTTGATGCAACTTTTCATAGACGTTTGGTTTTATACTGTTTGGTTTTATACTGGTTAGAAAGGAGTTTTTTGTACCCGGCCTGTAAAGAAGTAAGAAAAGAATGTTTTATTTATACTTTAGAAAACCTGGATTTTGTCAAGGAATTCAGAGATTCCATTTACATGATGAAATTTTATTAAGCAATCTTTAGAATACAAATCAGGGAGTAAGGAATAGAAGGGAGATGTAACTGACGCGGTTCGCCATACCCTATGACTATACATGCTTTGCAGACGGTACTTCATTTGTATAAGAAATATTCAGAATAGGTTATTGTATACGCGGTAATTGTACACCAGACAAATACTTCTTATACAAATGGAGTACCCGTCTGCAAAGCATGTATAATCATATGGTAGGGGGAACCGCGTCCGTTATATCTCCCTTCTATTCTTTACTCTCTGATCCAAATACACCAAACCCAATTAATAAAATAAATTATTATTTCTGAATATATTGCAAGGTAAATATTTAATCTAATGAACTGCAGTAATTGAGAAACTTTATTATAATATTAATAAATATTTTCTTAATGCAACATGATGTTTTCTGTTTTATTTGGTATTAGTTAAACACAACTGTTCATCTACTATATGGATGAGATTGAGACCACATTATTGAATTTTTGAAGTTGTCATAAAATTCGTATGCTTTGTGAAACCCATGAACATATATCTAAATTAATTTAATAAACAATGATTTATTGAGATAAAATCATATATTGATTATCGTTCACAAATACAAATATATTTTTGGTTCAGAAATCTCTGAATACATAGATTTTCTATATTTTCCTGTCCTGGCATGATTGACATGATACTGCTCCTGGTGGCGTAGTTGGTGTTCACACAGGAGAACTGCAGCAAGGAAGGTGTTACCTCAAACTAAAGTAATTTGTAGGATTACAATATTTCAATCATAACTCCTCTTATTAAAGAGATCCTGAGAAGAACACAAAAGTTTTGAAACCGGATAAAGGAATTGAGTCTTTGCCACAAACTCTGATTTTCTAATCACTATATCTTTAGAACCAAATGTTGTAGACCTTAGATATTTTAAACTATGAATTCTGTTAGATCAAATAATCTGAGTTTGAAATATCAAAAGTTTACAACATCGGGTTCTAAAGATATTGAGGTTTAAATATTTGATTTTGTTCCAAAGACTCAATTCCTTTCCAGTATCATACTTATGCTAAAAAATCAAAACTAGAGGAGCTATGAGGCCAGAAAGTCGTCCCAGTAATGTCGAATAAACTTTACCTTCTCCTTCTGTTCAGTTCACAGGACTATATCTCATCTTACATGTATGTAAAGTAGAGTGCAAAAATATATACATAAGTAAAGATGTACAGGGTGTCCCACATCATATTTGTATTGTTGTGTTGTTCTGTTGAGCCCATTTTGTTATTCATTTTTGTAGAATTAAGTATTCTCCGTGTTTTCCGTGATTACTTTTCCTTGCCATGTGAAATATTTCTCCTCAAATTCTTAAAATACGGTTTTTTCTTATCAATTTAAAAATTTCGTTTACCAGGTACCCCTGCTAAAACAGCCCTCGGCTATTGAGTCCGCCTTATTTTTTCTCTCTTTATATGTTATTTATTTTAAATTGTAAAAGTGTTTCCGCAGAAATAAATGATTAGATTTGATTTGATATTGGATTTTTTATATATAGCTCTATATAAATTGCGATTTTAAGAACTAATCAGAAAAAATATTTGAAAAATTGTATCAGGTTAATTTAAAAATTTGTGCAAAGAAAAAAAAGAAGGTTTCACGTATTTTGTGCGTATTTTGGAGTTAAAACTTGGAGATAATCCAATATGATATGGGACGCTCTCTAGTATAGCCTTGTTGTAGGAATTGTTAAATTCCTCTTTGTACTTATCTTTATATAAATAAATATAATTAAACTAAATTAGTATTACAATAATCACTACTTTTAATGTAATGGAACAGACACGGATATACAGGAATGGTCAATATACAGAGATAGTCAATATAAAAGGATTGTAGAGAAACAGGAAAAGTCAATTTACAGGGATAGTCAATTCACAGATATAGTCAATATACAGGGATAGTCAATATACAGCAAAGTCGATAAACAGGGATAGTCGATATACAGGGAAAGTTGATAAACAGGGAAAGTTGATAAACAGGGATAGTTGATATATCAGGGATAGTTGATAAACAGGGATAGTTGATATATCAGGGATAGTTGATAAACAGAGTAAAGTTGATAAACAGGGATAGTTCATAAACAGGGAATGGTTGATAAACAGGGATAGTTGATAAACAGGGATAGTTGATAAACAGGGATAGTTGATAAACAGGGAATAGTTGATAAACTGGGATAGCTGATAAAGAGGGATAGTTGATAAACAGGGACAGTTGATAAACAGGGATAGTTGATAAACAGGAATAATTGATAAACAGGGATATAGTTGATAAACAGGGATAGTTGTTAAACAGGGATAGTTGATAAACAGGAATAGTTGATAAACAGGGATAGTTGATAAACAGGGATAGTTGATAAACAGGAATAGTTGATAAACAGGGATAGTTGATAAACAGGGATAGTTGATAAACAGGGATAATTGATAAACAGAGATAGTTGATAAACTTGGGATAGTTGATAAACAGGGATAGTTGATAAACATGGATAGTTAAGATAAACAGGGATAGTTGATAAACAGGGATAGTTGATAAACAGGGATAATTGATAAACAGGGAATAGTTGATAAACAGGGTAAAGTTGATAAACAGGGATAGTTGATAAACAGGGATAGTTGATAAACAGGGTAAAGTTGATAAACAGGGATAGTTGATAAACAGGGATAGTTGATAAACACTAAACAGGGAATTATTAAACAGGGATGTTGATAAACACTAAACAGGGATAGTTGATAAACACTAAACAGGGAATTGATAAACAGGGATAGTTGATAAACACTAAACAGGGAATTGGTACGGGGATAGTTGATAAACACTAAACAGGGAATTGATAAACAGGGATTGTTGATAAACATTGATCGATCCAAGGAATTTGTCAAAGGGTGGCCCGTAGGGTTTAACCTTTTGATCTCTCCAGAGGGTTTGTACCCATGCCCATGTTCAGGAAACTTCCCCAGGGAGGCGGGGCTTATGCCCCTAGGGCCCATCCCCAATCTTAAACGCCCATATATTTCATTTCTTATGTTTATGTTCTGAGACGAGGTTTAGAGAGATAAATATTTACATCAGCTGCTGACTTTATACTCCTTAAATACAGGGATAAACTAAATTGCTTAAACCAAGAATAAAATTTTTTGAATGATCTTTAAATTGGAAAATGAAGCAATATTTTTTAAATTTCTCTAAAATCACAATTTTTGAGCGAGAATATAGAAATGAGTATGACGTCACCGTATTGGTGTTGTACTACGCATGCTCCGAAGGGAAAGGAGGAGTACTCAGAACCCAGTTTCTCAAGTTGAGGTTGGAAACAGTGAAATGATAAGAATTATTTAATGGGTTGAGTAATAATATTTAGTATGGAACCCTAAATATTTTGATAAATGTGACTAGTCGTAAGAATCCTTCGCCTGCCGGCTGGGATTCAATCTCAAGGATTTATTTTTGATTTGTAAACAATATGCGGGTCCAATGTCGTAGCTAAGAATTGGTTTATACGTCAACATGAATAGCAGGAAAGGGACCACCAAGGACCCCTCGGAGGGGATCCGACAGGTCCTGGGCAAGCACACCAAGATCCTGCTCAAGGTGCCCGTCAAGATGGAGAGGAGCGGAGGGGATAAGACAGATAACAGAGTGATTGTGATCACCCCCCACCGGCTTTATGTGATGACCAACAAGATCCCGACAAAAATAGATCAACATTTTCATTTTCTTGATATTAGCGGGATCGAGTCAAAGAAACCGAATCAAGTTGTTTTCAAGATTCATGAAAAAACTTATAGTTTTCGTCCCGCCGTTGAAACTTCAGGTTCGGAGCAGATCGACGAGATTATTATCACTCTGGCTAAGGCGGTTCGGAGCATTTTCCCTGGAGTTCTTCTTGCAAACGTTATTCCTAAGGTTCGTTACAGTTTTTGATTTAAAATGTTTATTTCCACAACATTTAAATCTATGATATTGTGAGTCAATTTCCCTTGTTTTTATACCCTGGAACCTTGATCTTTCTACCCTTGACCTTATCTTGGCCCCTTGATCTTTCTACCCTGGACCTTACCCTGGCCCCTTGATATAAATCATGCATTCTTGATTTTCATACCCTTGACCTTGATCTTCATATCCTTGACCTTGATCTTCATATCCTTAACCTTGATCTTCATATCCTTGATACTGATCTTCATATCCTTGACCTTGATCGTCATATCCTAGATCTTTATCTTCATATCCTTGACCTTGTTCGTTATTTCCTGGACCTTGTTCTTAATACCCTTGTTCGTTATTTCCAGGACCTTGTTCTTATTACCCTTGTTTGTTATTTCCTGGACCTTGTTCTTATTACCCTTGATCTTTATACACTTGATCATACCTTTAATCTTTATTCTCTCTGGACCCTTGATCTTTAAACCTTCGACCAATGATCTTTTATCCTTGATCTTTATACCATTTATATATTTACCCTCAGTACCCTTTATCTTTAATTTACCATGTTCTACGAAATTTTTTGAATTCTTCCTTTGTAGTTAACATGGATATCTCTCTATCGGGAAATCATAGATTTTAAACACGAAATCTAAAAATCGTCGATTAAAATTAAAATCTGTTTGATTCTAGATTGAAGTAGTCCCTGTGAAGCGTATCCAACCTATTCTCGAGATGAAACCCCTGGATTACAAGGATATGGGACCCTGCGGGGGGTTCTCATCACAGTACGCCTGCTACTGCGACTACTACAGCATGCCCTATAGAGAGGAGGTAGAGTATTCTATTTTTTAGAATGATACAGAAACTATGACGGTTAGAAAAGAATTGGAACATTTAAAATAATTTCTAATTTTCTAATCCTCAAAGGTTTGCAATCTCTTGACGTAGATATTATCTGAAACTACTACTCCTTTTAATCCAATAGAGTTTGAACTATTAAAGGTTTAAACAATCTGGTTGAAAAAATAGCGGGAGTAAAGTCTGAGAAAGTGTTCAGTTCCTATGTCAGAAGTGTTGACTGTTCAGCATCGGTAAAAATGACGCTGCATTGTGCAGTTAAAGTGAACTATGGGGGGGGGGGTATTGTTATCAAGATTTATCCTTTAATCTGAATTTCTTGTATTAGGTTGCCTGGGACGTAGATACGATATATTTTTCCCATGACTCACATGAGCTATCCCTCACTGATTTTGAGCACCTGGAGCAGAGAGATCTTATCTGTATCATCTCCGCCCTGGAGCACAACACATGGTTCAATAAGCTCAGCGCCTCGACTAATTCGACCAAAATGGCCGCTGAGGTCATTGATAAAATCCTCTCTGTAGTTTCAAAATCTATTTCTCTTCAGGTAAATTTTTAATTTTATTTTTATTTGTAAAAAAATGTATTAATAAATTATTCTTACTTTTAGGAAATTTACTTGTCTAGCGCGGGCCTCCGGTGGGATTTCTTCCAGAGGTTAGCCTCGTGTATGACCTCCAATCAGTATTGCAACCTCACAACAATCGATATTAGTCTAAACTTTGTAGAGGACAAAGGACTGACCTCGCTTTCGACCGCACTTAGCCATTTCCCCCGCGGTCCTCGCCACCTTAACCTCGCCCACTGCACCCTCTCTGGGAAGGCAACGAACACCCTGGCCCAGGCCCTCATCACAAACAAGCTGAGCTTGAACTCCCTGACCTACCTGAACCTCTCCGGGAACTCGCTACGGGAGGATGTCCAAATTTTGGCCAACTTTCTCGCCCAGCCAAACGTTATTTCCATCCTAGATCTGTCCTCGACAGATATTCCGTCAGAAATACTTTTCAGTGCCTTAGTTCGAGGATGCACCCTTCATCTCTCCCATCTTAACCTCGCCAGGAACCCATTCTCCGCTAGAAAATCCAAGGGAGATATCCCGGCCTCATTTAAACAATTCTTCGCCACCTCAGTATGCTTGAAGTACCTAAACATGTCCCAGGGTAAGCTCCCTGTGGAGGCCCTGAAGCACCTGCTCCTAGGGTTAGCCTGCAACGAAGGGATCAAGGACGTGGAGCTGAATATCTCCAATAACAACCTGGGGGCCGGGGGCGCTACAGTCATGGAGAACGCGCTACCCGGAGTCAAGTGTGTCAGTAGATTAGATATATCGGAGAATAATCTTGATGTAGAGCTTGCCATCGTCGTCAATGGTGTGGCGAGAATGCGATCCCTGCTCAGTTTAAATATTTCTAAAAATCTTCCAAAAATCAAGGCCCGTGATGTCATTCATGTCATGGACGCAATAGTTCAATTAATTCAGGTAACCGAGATAATTTTTTAGTTTGAATATTTGTTTATTGTATAGAGGTTTATTGTTTGTTTGGTTGTAAATATGTATCCGGTAAAAACTCCGAACCCATGACTGACAGTGTATGACTCATATTGAATTACTGGGATTTCAAGGTTTATAGTTTTCTCTCCTAGGTTTCCTTTTCCTTGAGTTCGTCTCGCTCCTCTGGTTTCTATTTAATCCCGGATTACTTATTAACTAATTATGACTCAGAAATGACGCATTTTTAAACTGATATACAGGGTTGCCCACTAAGGATGAGACTAATAATGATCGTGAAATTGAGTTCGGTTTTCTGTCTTCTAAATAGCATTTACTTTCAATGTATAAAATAATGAGGCAACGAAAGAATCACGTTTAGTTGCTAGGAACCACGATTATAAAAAAATATGAATTCTCTACAGTCATCTCGAAAGTCTCACACACTTGGTTTATTTTTAGAATTTGAGATATTAACTAGAGCTTATCTTGAATTCCACTTTATGTTTGCAAAAATGTTGAATTTATATTGATGTCAACTTGAAGCTATTTATCATCTAATTTTTTATATAGCTTTCTGTTGCTGAGCTCTTATCTTGTTATCTAGCCGACATGATTTAAAACAGAATGTTTGATTCATCCAGAGTTCTCTTCTACAGTG